AGTAATTTACTGGGAATTTATTGAGAATTTACTGAGAGTTTACTAAGTAATTTACTGGGAATTTACTTAGTAATTTATTGGGAATTTACTAAGTAATTTGCAAAGGAATTACTAGGAATTTACAGAGTAATTTACGAAGAATTTACGGAGTAATTTACTGAGAATTTAGTAGAAATTTACTAGTAATGTACTGAGTAATTTACTGGGAATTTATTGAGAATTTACTAGAATTTAATAATAATTTATTGAGAATTTACTAAGAATTTGCTGAGTAATTTAATTAGAATTTACAGGAAATTTACTGAGTAATTTGCTAGGTAATTTATTGAGAATTTTTTGAGAATTTACTGAGTGATTTACTGATAATTTACTGGGAATTTACTAAATAATTTGCTGAGAATTTACTAAGTAATTTACTGAGTAATTTACTAAGAATATACTGGGAATTTTCTAACAATTTCCAGGGAATTATCTGAGTAATTTATGGAGAATTTACTGAGTAATTTACTGAAAATGTACTGGAAATTTACTGAAAATTTCTAGCAAATTTTCTGAGTAATTTACCAGGAAGTTACTGAGAATTACTGGGAATTTACTAAGTGATTTACTTATAATTTACTGGGAAATTACTGATTAATTTACTGGGAATTTACCGAGTAATTTGTTGAGAATTTACTTGGAATTTTCTGAGTAACGTACTGAGTAATTTATTAAGAATTTACTAAGTAATTTACGGAGTAATTCACTAGGAATTTACTGAGGAAATTACTGAGAATTTACTAGGAAATTTTCTGAGTAATTCACCGAGAATCTACTTGGTAATTTACGAAGAATTTACTGGGAATTTACTGAGTTAATTATTGAGAATTTACTGAGAATTTAAAGGTTAATTTACTTAGAATTTGCTAAGTAATTTACTGAGAATCTACTAAGAATCTACTGAGTAATTTAAGAAGTAATTTACTGAGAATTTACTAAGAATTTAAAGAATAATATACTGATAATTTACTGAGTAATTTACTGGGAATTTCCTGAGAATTTACTGAGTAATCTACTAAGAATTTACTGAGTAATTTGCTGAGTAATTTACATAGTAATTTTCTGGGTATTTACTGGTAATTTACTGAGTAATTCACTGAGAATTTAGTATGAATTTACAAAGTAATATACTGAGTAATTTACAGAGAATTTATTTGAAATTTACTGCAATTTGATGAGAATTTACTGAGTAAGTTACTGAGTAATTTACTGAGAATTTTCTAGAAATTTTGTCACGCCCCAAGTTTTATTACTCGAAATTATAACCAAAACCTTTAATACAAGTCCATTTAATTTACAATTATTATTACAAATAGCCATTACATGGGGTAACAACAACAACATTGTTCTCTCTCGAATAATACAACAATAATACATGTACAAGATTCACATTGAAATACACATGAATCTCTCATTTACAATAAGCATCTCTCATTTACACTATCACTAAATAATAGAAAATAAACTCTTCAATCCTCAATCTGGCGTTCCAAACTTTGTCCTTGAAAAATGGTTAAAATAATTGGGATGAACGCGAAGTCCAGTAGGAATTTTTCCTGATTCTAAACAATATAGTCCTTAAATACATGAGATCATGAAGTGCTAAAGAGTGATATAAACATAAATTCTTTGTGCTCTTTAATATACTCAAATTACAATACATATAGGTAACACCATTCTCATAAAGGAAATTCATGAAAACTTTTCAAAGAAAACCCTTTCATTTGTTTCTATATTAGTCAAATATATGTTTAAAAAAAAAAAGAGTCTTTTCAATAATTCCTTGCTAACTTTATCTAGAATTATAAACATAGCAACGAGTCATACTCCTACATGTCACAACATATTATAACCCATTATAATCCACATAAAAGAACCCATACACTTCCATATATTCGATTTTGCCCAATCAAGATTACTCACTTTCCATTATCTCAAACCCATGTACAAATCTTATTATAATCATTCCACACAGTCCAAATTGGACACCGGCTCCATTACCAAGCCTTAACATCATACCACACGCTTTACCGGTCACAAGCTGGAAGGAACGCGGAACCTTTACACATTTCATTAACCCACACGCTTTACCAGGCGCTACTCCAGAAGGAAGGCCGAACCTTTATTAAGCGCCACGCTTTGCCGACTCAAATACGGCGGGAAACGGACCCCAAGGCAACATTACAATCCATCAATTTCTTAAGTCATTGCTCATTATGAATTGTGGGCAAAGCCAACACATTCATTCATCATTTCCATTACTTATTAGCTCAAGAACACATACTCATTATTTTCCGCCATTCTCTCGTATTCATCAAGTCATTCGTTGTTACAATCCCAACAAAATCAATAATAACATTCAATATTTTTTATCACAAAATTCATCCAATAACACATCCACTAAGAGCATTTGGCGCATTTTTAGAAGCATTCTCAATTCTTATATTTCAAAGGTCTTTTAACTTTACCACAAAATTATCAAATCTTCATACTCAATTTCATAACACAATAATCACCATAAATTATCTCCAATTAATTAATTTAATTACTCATCTTAATTTCTTCAAAATAACCTTTCTATACAATAGTTATTTTCTAACCATTCACTACAACGAAAAAGGGTTTTTACGACGCGCAATGCACACTGTAAAAATCCTTCTACGACGTGTAGTGCGCGTCATATTATGACCAGTCATAGAAAGTCATTCACTTTCAACGACATACCTCGTACGCCGTTAAAAACTATTTAACAACAGATTTTGTGCGTCGTTGTTACTTTTTCTACGACATACTATAGTATGTCGTTAAAAACTATTTAAGGGCAGATTTTGTGCGTCGTTCTTACTTTTTTTACGACATACTATAGTATGCCATTAAAAACTATTTAACGGCAGATTTTGTGCGTCGTCGTTACTTTTTCTACAACTACTTTTACACGCTGTTAATTGGTGAGACAAATAAAACGCCGATTGCGCACCGTAAAATATGTAATACGACTTATTATGCCTGCCATAAAATATGCAGTTTTTTATTTTTTATTTTTAAATTCAATAGGTTATATTTGACCAATTTTGTACAATCTAACAAATATATATTTTTAATTCAATAGATTCTATTTCACCTGTTTTGTATAATCTAAAACAACATTACATACAAGTTTCACAAATATATATATATATATATATCTATCAATCAAGCACCAAAATATTATTTCAAACATCAAAAAAATTATTTATAAATTTCAAACATCCAAAAATTGTCTGTACATTACAAGTAATTCAAAAACTATGTTTCTAAACATCAAAAAATTATCCTCAACTTCAAAACTGTCCAAAAAGTTCTAAATCATCTCCCAAAAAATAAATAAATAAATAAATAAATTAAACCTATCTTCAAGTTCTAAGCGATACAAAATTTACCCATATATCTTCTTGCGAGTGTACCATCACGGGTTGATTCAATTGCATCAACACTCGGCTTGCAAAGGAACAAATTATATTTATAGACGCATACTCTTTGAGATGTAAAGCCATTGCTCGCACAAATTTTTTTTATGGGTATGTAAGGGTTGTCATCATTTTACCTGCCAAACAAAAATCAATTGATATCATTAGAAACTAAAAGGAGAAAAGAAACACATAAACCAAAGCACAAAAAATAAAAACCAAAATATTGAGTTACTTGAATTGGCATAAAATAAATTGTTAAATATAGTCAAATAACTCGCTTTTATTAAACACAATTGTAAGTGTTTCAAAAAGTATGTAAGATTTTACCAAAATAAAATCTAAAAATTCACATAGACGGTTGTAATAATAGTATTACTATCTTACTAATTTACTAATATAATAAAATACGAAATTCTATATTTTTCTCAAAAAATAATTATAAAAAACTTTATGAAAAAGTTAAATTTGTTTCGATACAATTATTGTTTTCAAATATTGAGTTGTGTTTTAATGCATTTCAATATGTCTTGGTAATCTTTTATAGACACACACAAATTTTATCATTCCATTAGCTGTCTTCTTCTTGGACTAAGGTGATGCGTTGTTATTTATACAGGTAAAAGCCTGAATGTGACAAATAAAAAAGAGGAGGTCGAAAGTTTGTAAATTAGTTTGACATTGAACTTTTGGTAATCAACTACAAAGAGGGTGGTTCTGGGAGTTGTGTTTTTGTAAAGTGATAAAACAAAGAGGAGAGATTTAGCCCCTCAATAAAGCTTTGTATAAGGGGTGAAAAACACCACCTGGTCAAGCGAAACCATGAACATGTTAAATGGCTCATCAATCTAACTAGAGGTTCCAACTGTCTTCAAATACTTAAAAAAAAATAAAGTAGGTAGAAAGAGAGAATAAAAAGGGTTTCAATAGTTTTTAGAGTTATGCAACCACCAAACTTGACTAGTTCAAGGACCAGGGCAGTTGGAACCATCTAACAGCCTCAATTGCTTGATCCATCATTACGCACATTGGTCTTGTCTAAGTTTTCACACAACGCACCACATGCTGCCCTAATTCTCTTTTAACCTCACAAGAATCCACCACAAAATTAATCACAGATATAGATCGAAGAGGGAAGCTAAACAGATGAAATTGAATGCAATCAGGATTAAAAATACCTGGTGAAATTCAACAAGGAGATTATTGGTCGCAAGATATCTCTCAACTGATAAAGCAGCAATGCATCCTAAACCTGCTGCAGTTATGTCTTGCCTCCATTCATGATCCTATATGAAGACCGAGAAACGAAAATGCAAGTCTCAAAAAATTACAAGTTCAATGACTAATACAAATCTGTAAGATCATCAAATACATGTTGGGCCCATTCCCTAACAGTTCATAATTTAAAATTAACCAAATTACCCTTAACTACTAAAATTTAATAAAACATAAATAAATCTATCTTGCCCATTTGTTCTCTGTAATACTTCTTATCACGACCTGAACCCGCCCCTATGGGTTAAGGCCATAACCGGCTAGTAATCACGAGATTACCTACGGCCTCAAATCAAACCTTTCAAAATTCATCAGAGTAAAGGGGCCAAACGGAAGCAAATTTAAAACTTTGTCCATAGAGTCGTGCTTATATGCACATCATAACATTCCATACATACATATGTTAATAACTCACAACAAAAAGTATAGTAACATAAAGTTCTATACAGACAGGATCATTCAGATCTAAGTCAGCCAAAACAAAACTATATACAGACGTACACCAAAGTCCTCGCCAACATGACAAAATAACATAGAATGGCAGAAGGGCGAAGACGTGTCTCATGCGTGAGACGCAAGGGCTAACTCTTCAAAACATTAGTTGTTTCATACAGACTTCACTGGGCTGGGTTTGGACTCCTCTTGGCTCACCTACAAACACATGAATGAGTGTGAGCGAAAGCCCAGTGAATAATATCAAATAAAGAATACACATTGGAACAATATACATCAAATGGCCTTGGGCCCAATTTATATCTCTACTAATACATACATGCTTAGACATATGTAAGTTAAGTAACTGCGGTTCCAAACACATCATATGGCCTTGGGCCCAATTCATTAGTGTCAAATTGTTATTTGTGTCAAACTAGCCTTTGGCCTTTTCAAACTTCCATATCAAACTGACCTTTAGGTCTTTCAAACTGGCCTTTAGGCCTTTCAACTTTCATGCATGTCAAATTGGCCTCTGGCCCATTCATGCATGTCAAACTGGCCTCTGGCCCATTCATGCATGCCAAACTTTCATTTGTGTCAAAACGGCCTTCAGCCTAATCATTTATGTCAATTGGCCTTCGGTCCAATCATTTATGTCAATCGGCCTTCGGCCCAATCATTCAATATAACAACCATTGTCCACCAAACGAATCAATGAACTTATAAAACTTACATAGAAGTAAGCAATTTGGACAACAACATATTTCAGATATCAGATATTACTCACAGTGATCAGCTCGTGGATTTGCCCTAGAGCTTGACCCTACACATCATATAACACATATGGGTCACAAATAATTCAATCCGTTCTTTGATTCACATATTCCTCTTTAGGCTTCATTCTTATCTCTTTAATTCAATTACAATGCCCAATGTATGCCTAAGAGTGCTCAGAAGTGAAAGCGAACGGAAAACGAAATACAGAACGATTACACAAAATTCTCAGAAACAGGGTCCCCACTCGAGCGTGTACTTCCCCGCTCGAGCGGACCCATGAGGTCTGTAGAAGTACTGGTTATGTCATTTTTACGCTCGAGCGTGGAACTTGGACGCTCGAGCGGAAGTCCATCCTATATAGCTCCTCGCTCAAGCGTGGACTTCCCCGCTTTAGCGGACATCATGGTCTGCAGAAAATACTGGGAGCACGAAATTCACCCTCGAACGGCAGTTTCCCCGCTCGAGTGGACATCAAATTTCTGGGTTTTCCAGAATGTGTTCTTGAGCTCAAATTCGACATTCCAACCACATTTATTGCATATGATGGCTCAAATCTCACATATGCTCGTACTAACATGGTACAAACACTAAATTACAACATAATGGAGCTCAATTTTACAAAATAATCACATGCATGGCTTAAATTACACCAAACTCATTTTCATCATAACATATTCGTGTATTCAAAGCTCTTATCCTCATAAATTGTACATGCATGTGATGTATTACTCTCATCTTCAACTTAGATGATACAAATGGTGATCATAACATGAGCTTTAACCAAAACTCTACATGAACCATGTATTTCAAGCTCAAACATGCAAATTCAAAATAATTTCTTACATGCATGCACATATTGGCTCTCAATTCAACAAAACCAACTCAATTACACTTCAATCCTTACTCTTGATCATTAATCAACTTTGAATACACAAAATTGCACATTAAACTCACGGATTTACTCACCTAGGAGCTTCAAACACCCAAGTTCTAGCCAATTCTTGAGTTCAATCTTCAAATTCCCAAGCTTGAGCCAAAAATTGCACAAGTCTCTCCCTCTCTCTCTCTCTCTCTCTCTCTCTCTATGGCCGGCCCTCTCTCTCTCACAACAGTATAACTCAGATTTTTTGAGTTCAATAGAAGTAAGGGAGAGTGCATTAAGGCCCCCACTCAACACAATATAATAATAATAAATAATTGGGCACTAAGGCCTCGTTTGGGAACAGGCTAATTTAGTAACTTTTTGGCTATTTGGCTAAAAAGGTAGGTAAAAAAAACTTGTATGTTTGGGATGACTTTTTGGCTAATTACGAAAAGATGTGCAAAAAGTAGAGAGAAAAGAGAATCTTTGACTTTTTGATATGAGTTGTTGGCTTTTTGGCTAATTTAGTAACTTTTTGGCTAATTGGTTAAAATAGCCTTTTGCCAAACGAGGCCTAATTCACCAATTTAATCAACTTAATCTGGTCCGAATCAATTTTCAATTAAATTTCACCGTAGGCTCTAAAAATTATTCCAATCACAATGGCGCAATCAATTTTGGTTTCGGTGGCCGATAAGGCCTTCAGTTTAATTTCGAAAGCAGATAATCAAACAGATATTCCTATGGTAAACAAATAGAAATTCAAAACCACATTTTTTCACATACTTGCATACAAAATCATATTAAACACATAATCATACTCATTTTAAGGACCAATTAACATATTACGGAATAGGGATATCACAGTCTTCCCCCCTTTAGGAAGTTTGGTCCTCCAAACTTAATTTACCTTTAGTCGAACACAATTCGGAACACTTTTCATTCAACGGTTCTAGTCCTTTTTTATAGCCATTTACTTAGTCCCAAAATCAAGCAACACTCAGTTCTCAATCAATCAGAGACTTACCTTTTTCTTCCATACAAGGCTTGTACGGTGCAATACCGAAACTAGAGTGCAAGCTGTTGTTGTAAGCAGAGTCTGCCAACAACGAATAGACTTTCCAAATTCCCTGAAAGATCTGCTGAATATATTTGGAGCATTTCTCCCAAAAGTTCTTTCTAATTATACATCAATTAACGGATGGGAGGTAGTGCTGACTCACAATCCAGTTCTCATCGCCTCTTGAAGGCTTGCCAGAATTCAAACACATTTTAGGATCCCTGTCCAAAACAATAGATACTAGGATCCCATGCAAACGAGCAATCTTGTCGATGTAAACGGTTGCTAGTCTATAAGCATCACACGAGGATTTTACAAGAAGGATATGAACAAACTTAGTAATCCTATATACAATAATCCAAACGAGACTTATACCCTGGGTGTCCAAGGCAGCCCCACAATGAAATTCGTAGTCACATATCCCTATTTCCATTCCGAAATAGAGAGAGGTCGAAGTAGTTCCGCCAATATCTGATATTCGACTTTCACTTGTTAGCACCGAAAATATTTAGACACAATTTCACCAATTGCCCTCTTCAAGGTAGGTTACCAACATATTTATTTCGGATGCCAGCTAACTTTATCACAGAAGTTTGGTCTATTCCCTTGTCGCAAAGGTTCAATTCATTCTTCAATAATTCCACAATTCGCAATCCGATTCGGTATTTAGTTCACTGACTCATCACAGTTATCCAAGGTTAATCAAAAGTCTTTAGGAATATGAAGTGGATCTAGATACTGATTCCCGAATCAACAATGGTAGCATCGAAGCAATCAATTTCTAATACAATACACGTGTCCTCAATTCATTCAACAGTTTACGGTTTACAATTTAGTCCACATTCAATCCCCTGTTCTATCAAGTCTTTCCATATTATCTGATAATCACCAAAAGCAGAAGGCCATTCTTGTATTAATCCCCATGACATCAAAGATAATATCAAAACAATCAGTCACATGTTAAACATAATTTACACATCCTCAGAGCCCCAGTCATAGAATATAATGGCACTGAGCAGTTATTCACAAGGCGTACTGAATTCACACACTTACGGACAATCAGGGTTTTTAAAAGCTTCTTGGATGCTAATAACATCCACATAATACCAAATGATGACATTCCGGACAAAACAAAGGAATAATCGTCTCAGAATCAAAGCACACCCGTTCACGACCGTCGATGGCCGACTCGAGATCGATTAAACAAACCCATCCGTACAAAACCGTCGGTGGCAAAAGAGGTATCTCAACAAAGGTGCTACATAAAATTAACGTCCCCTAGCACGAAAGGACGTCTCAAGAATGTCATCCAAACAAACACAATATCACTCACCATAACCTGATTTCCCAAAATCCGATAACACTGAAGCAGACTTATGAAACATATTCTGGTTAGTTGAGGATAAATATTCAGCACCATTTACAATCAAATCAATCTGCTGTCATCGGTTTCCATAACGTCAAATAAGCAAGAATATGGTAATTTAGAAGCATCGTTCCATAAGACACCCAATCACAGGAGTTGTACGATTCTATTCATTTATAACATATATGTCCTAATAGTGGAAGGTCGGTTCTCAATGGTGTTCATGGTTAGATCAATCTGTTAATAGCCCACAAAAGGTCTTTCAAATAAGTCAAGTATTCCAAACGGATTCAAGTTTTGGGTCTATCAGTTTTTCTGTCAAGAATAATCTGGCTATTTATTTACAAGCAATCCTTAATCCCTCTCTACAAAACCAATTAGATAGAGGGCTTTACCAAATCGATCCTGGCAAAGGTCTTATCAAATTAAATCAAACAAAGGTCCCATCAAGTCACATCCAATGAGGGTTCTAACAAGGCCATATCAGTCAAAGGTTCTATCGAATCGAATC